CCCCCCCACCTCCCTTGCTTGGCTTGCTTTGTCCCATGTCTTATTTTTCAGTGCATCTATTTTATTTTAAGGCCTCTTTCTCTGTCTGTTAAGTCTTGTAAGAATGGGAATTCTCCCACTTCATTTAAGCGGGTGAAACACAGAAGTGGAAGGAAGAGTGAAACAAAAAGGATAGGGGGGGAAAAAAAGAGGAGCTGGAATTTAGTTATGGAATAGCGAAGGAAACGGCCGAGAGAAAGGAGAAAATAGGCTTTCAGTAAAAGGATGCAATTAAGGAAGAAGCTATTGGGGAAAAATAAAGCAGGCGAGACATTTACTGTATTTGGAGAAGGTGTATAAATCCTCCAAGTTCTAAATCTTTATTTTACACACTCTCTTCCTCCTTTTTCAGCACCTTCTTCTCTGCTTCAGGGCTCAGGGCTGATAGAGAGAAGGCAATTGTTTTTGTGTAATGACATGAAACCAAAAAGAAGGCGAAAAAAAACCCCTGCCTTTTTGAGTGTGGGTGTTTACTTCCTCAGCTTAGGCACTGCTCTAGACATAGCAGCAAGTGCCATTTATATGCTGCTGATGGATTAACTTGTAAGTGAAAACACATTTTAAATTAGTTGGAGTATTTTTGATGTATCAATTTGAATGTTTTATTAATTCCTTTGTTGTTGCTTTGTTATTAAAAATTGATACTTTTCTGATGCAGCATCCCTGCATATGCAGTTAAAACTGTGCGAAACTCCGAATCAGCTCATCATCAGAGTTCATATTTTTCAGAAGAGTAAACATTGCAGTAAATAATCGAATTAACCTGACAATAAAATAACTGTGTAAATTGCAACCATGATTTTTCTACATGGGAAATTGAAATTGGTGCCCTGTGGTGCACAAACTCCAGCTATGAGGAAAGTGATGTCGAATCGAGCCATCCGTTTAAGACGCAGTGACACTGTATGCTGCTTGAATACAGTATGTGATGTTTCAAGCATGAATCCTTTTCCTTACACTTAGCTCACTGACAAGGTGCATCTGTGTGTTTCCTGCCACAGGGAGATCGCTTTTACCAAGCAGCTGCAGAAACAGTCTCCCAAGCTGTCCTACTACTACCTGGGCTTTTACATTCACTCCTGCCCCAAGATGCGGTATAAGGTACGCATTATCTCACACGTACAGCACATTTATCATGGTTATCACACTTTATATTGACAATATATTTGAATTTCAGTTTTGTAAACTGGATTTAACATATCAATGACTTTAAGTGTTTTATACTCTGATATAAATGCTTTTTTATATTTTAACATTTTGGTACAACAGTAAGAGGCCTGTTATGACACTGGTATGCTGGAGATTTGCCATCTTGTAATTCAAATGTACCTCTTCGCTCTCCTTTCTTGGGCCTTTTAGATCTCAGATCAGATCTCTGTTCTATACTCTTTCAGTTTTGTCTCTCTTGCCCATCATGTCTCAGGCCAGTGACCAACATGCTGTAATGTCTTTTGTTTGTAAGATACCAATATTAAGTACTAAAATAGTTTTTCTTTTGCTGCATAATATTTATAGCTTTATAATATAATCACAAAGGGCCCTGTAGATCTCTTTATATAAAATCCCAGCACCTGCCTTAATTAACATTACAGTCTAAATTACAATTTGGAATTCATTCACCATAAGTTTATCTGGATTAGCAACATTTATCAGTGATGGTTTGATTATAACACAAGCATGAGTATATACTCAAATGCTCCTGTTAAAGTTTATTCATACACAGTCAGTATATTTGATGGAGTGAATAGAGCATGTGAGGGAAGCAAAGTGATAGTGAGGACATCCAGGGAAGTAAGAGAGGATAAGGCTGCTGAAGACATTAAAGGTTTAGCGAGAGGTTACACTGGTGACAGCAGCCATAACTCAGCAGTGAGAAGAGTTCAGGACACATCCTCAGAAATCTGCATATACACTGCAGTTTACCTGCTGTAGAAACTGACACAAATAATAAATGTGGATACACAGAGGAGCCAGGACTCACAAACATAACCCCGGTTCACACCAGAAACCACTGAAATATCTATAGCTTAGGAGGATGATGAAAGAAAGGAGTCTTTCCAAGTGCTTTGGTTTAGCTAAGTTTTTCCCATTCTTTCTCTCTTTTTCTCATTCATCTGCTAATTCCTCTATTTCACTGTCATTTCATTCAGATGTTCCCAGAGCTTGTTCTTGCCCATGGGAGACTGATGTCTTGTTGGGGATTATGGCAACGTGCCACATCTTTTTATCCATTTACATCTTGCTTTGGATACTGCTTTGTCCAAATTCTCAGTTTGGGACTCTGTATATGGAACACACGAGTGTGTTTGCTCTATTTGTGTGTGTGTGTGTGTGTGTGTCTGTGTGTTGAATCTTGATCACAGTGTTTGTCTGTGAACTCTGTTACCACAGCACCTAACTCCTCCTGGCTCTGGTATTTACTACCCCCAGCCCCCCATATCTGCTCTTGTGTGTTTGCCACTGCAGCGTGTTGTTCACAAACTCCCCACTCGGTCCTATTTTACCCTTGGGGAGGAACACAGAACGAGGGTGAGAAGGTTGCCCGGTTCCCACCTTTGGGCTTTCCCGATCCCACAGGAACACAGACACATTCAAATGTACTCTGAGCACATGCACGCTGTCTTGTGTTGTCTGATTTGCATATGAGCCTCAGTAACTCAATAATGCACAGAGATGCTGTGGAATTGTCACTTAGATGGGGCAGTGTCTACACTGTTTTTGTATTGAAGGTTTACTGGTTTCTGGATCTCAGCGCTGCCTCTCGGCTTCTTTAAAGAAAAACACACCAGCTCCTGAACTGTGCTGGACACCACTCACGCCCCATGAACACAACTTCCTCTCTCTATTTTGCACACCTTTCCCTCCCTTCTTTTCATCCTTGCCACTTTTTCTAGAAAGCCTCTGTTGCCATTATTTACTGTGACTTTTCCTTTAGTTTTTCTGCCCCTCCGTTTGGGCCTTTGTCATGTTTTATGCTGAGAATCTGAGCTTTTTGAGGTGATATATGATTCATGATCTTAATGTTTGTTGTTTTTTTTTACTATGTACCGAATAATCTAAGCGATCTAAGCATCTCCCATTCCCACCTTGAGTACTGTCTGCATGTGGTAATGATGACATAATCAGAGTGTTAGTGCAAGCATAAAAGGCTCTACTAAGGCAGGTCACTGAGACGAGTGTTAAAATATTGTAAAACCAGTTTCTTCTGTATTAAATTTCACACTTGTTGACGCCATACTCCCATTTTCCTGAGGAGTAGGACTGTATTGTTTATATTGCACTGTGAGAATTTATTTTTTTTTGCTGTATACTTTTACACAAGGGGCTGAAAACCTCGAATATCAAAAGAGACATTTTTTTAAGCAAAAACATCTGTATGGAGACTCAAAACATAGTTGAGGCTCATATTAGCCCATTAGCCCATTGACATTATTAATAGTTGTAAGTAGTTTAAATCTTTTAACACATGTGACTATTTTGCAGGAAGCTATTTATTTAATTGATTCTTTGGTATTGCTATGAAAGTGTTGGACTAAAATTAGTTTAAAAATGTTATTTTTACCAAAAAACTGGAAAAGTTCCACCATTTTTCCCGCTTCAGAATGGGTCTTTGGAGGGTGATTACCCACCTAAGCACGAGTGGGCCACATATAGTTAAGGCAAAGATTTAGTAACAGTAACTCAGTCATCAAGGGTGTTTTTAAGCCACAGGGAGCCACTGAAGGCGGGCAGAAGAGCCCCATGTGGCTCTTTTTTGTGATCTGTTAGCGATACCTGTCTTTTACCCTCATTCTTCATCACTCTAATGGACTTGGCTGTCAGGCTACAAACTTTACTGTTCTGCAGGATTCAATTTTGCAGGAGAGTTTTTTAACCAGGTCACATCTCTGCAAAGGAAACGCTGCATGCGAAATGGTTTGAAAACTCTTAACAGTGCCTGAGACTGGGCATGGTCCTGCAGAGTAGCCTTAAAGGGTCCTTGAAGACTTGGAGTCCAGCCAGGAACAGAGGGTTGCCTGGCCAGTGTCAGACCCTCTCCTTTGTTCTCAAAGCTGGGACTGAGCGTCCCACAGAGTCTTGCTGGTTTGGCTGGTGGGTTCAGGGTTTGACGTGACATCCTGCCCCTGGCTCCTGTCCCTGGTTCTCTGGCCCTGCATGGCCCTGTGATGTCAAGCTGTAGAGAGCAGAAGGTGAAGCTGTTGGAGGCTAAATGAGACCAAAGGTCTTGGCCCTTCTGCCACTGTTCTTCTTTCACAATGCTTCTCGTGTGTTAACGCTAACATTCATTTGAATTATCTTGCTTTCACAGCTTTAGATGGACTGATTATATTCCACTGATTCCATCCAGTGTTGTCAGTGTGTCTGATGACAGGAGAGCAAATCACATTTACTAACAAAAGACAAACTTGTCACTGGATGCATGCATTTTGCAGATTCTCACAGACAATATACAGCTTTTCCTAAGCACTTGAGTTTGACTGTGACCGTCCAATTATCTGCTAAAACCATAAATAAAATCCTTAATGTGCAAACCAGCTCAGGTTCTTCTTGCAGCGTTTTATTCCTTTCTCTTCAATCCAGCTTCAGCTGCTTGCAAGATTTCATTAACTTTCATTTGATATCTTTTCACTTTTTATTTTCGAGCTTCACCTGAACAAAGAGTCGATCCATTCTGGACTGTAGTGTTTTTTTTCCATTTTTTTTTCCAGAAGTGTGTATATGCCTGAGCACTTGTCTGTGCAAGTTACTTTTGAGTACTGAATAAGCAGACTTTGATGATAACAAATGAAGCGCTCACCCACTTGGCTTAACCAATCTAGTACCTGGTCTTAACATTTCAAATGCTTTTCAAGTGTGGTGTACATGCTTATATACAGACACACACTCAGCCCTACAGAATACACACCCAGTTATACCCGCTTGGCGAGGGAACGAGAGAGTTGTATGAAGTGCCTCTTATTCTTGTTATTATTGTTCACAGTGAAAGAATGTCTCGCTCTGAGCCCAGGAAGCCATTAAATTTTCCACAGAGAACGAGAAAGAGTGTGAGTGAGTAAAAATAAGTGAAAAGAGGGAGGAAGAGGACAGATGGAGAGAAAGAAAGGAGTGACAAAATGTGTGCCAAATGAGAAAAGGAGGCGAGATGAAAAGCGTTATTCGTTTTCCCGGCGGTACTTCACCGACTTTTAAAGAGCCCTTTCGCAGCAGCTGCACCTCTGTTTTCCTTTTCAAAGCCAGCTCCTCCTCAAACAAACAACAAACACTGTCAGAGAGACGGTCACTCCTACAGCAGCAGCCAGAGGTTTTTTGGTTTTTTTGGGTTTTTCACATGACCAAAGCTTTTGAATTCAGTGGACCTGAAATAAATCCATCCAGGTGTCAGCCACTGTGTGCAAGAGTATGTCGGGATACGTGCAATGAACAAATTTGATGTTGGTTTCTGGGTGCAGCGTTTGCCTTAATCAGTGCATGCCTGCAGGCTTTTCTGTCACCTGCTGCATCAGCTTAGCTTTCAGGACATCAATTAGACATGACAAAGTGACTCCCAGCTCTGGTATCAACACAGGAGCTAACTTTCACCTGCATACAAATGGTTTGAAAAGCAGTACGCAGTCATCTGTTTGTAGATTTTCATAGAAATCAAATCATAGAAATAGCTGTCCCCAAAAAGTAAAAATGGAATAATCTGTATTAAGTCATTACAGAAGTGTATTAATCTAAATCTCTCGAACACTCTCATCCCCTCTTCAGGTACGCAGTGGCAGGTTATGACATGCTAAAAGCCTCCAAGCGAGCCGCAGCTATCAGGACTCTGCATGTGTGTTATTTTCACTCAAGGGGCCCAATCAGACACTATGCTATGCGTACGTGTATGACCTGACATTTTGTGTGTCACTTGTTGAGCGTCTTGGTAGATTAAGAGTGACGGTGAGTGAACTTGAGGCATCTCAGGGTGGGTGTTTCCCTACAGTAGCCCTCATCCCACCCCCCCACCCCTCCGGTGCGCGCGTGCTACAGTACACGGCTTCGTTTTAAGGCAGCGTCAGATTTGTTGATGAGGGCATCGCTTTCTTACGTATTCCTGTTTATTATTGTTGAGC